GTGGGAATTGAACTGGCGACCCTGTTGCTCAGAGCTAGTGCTCTTAACCTACTGAGCCACTCCGGCCCCAGCCAGTCAGCTTTGATGAGGGAAACCTCCTCTGTTCCTCCACCTCCCTGGGGATTCTCTATGACGTCATGAAGAAAGACAGATGACATAGAGGGAGGGCCACCCACTGTCTGAATCTAACCCGTTACTGACAAATCAACTCTAAGGAGCCTCACAAGTTGCACTGTGTTAAAGGATACTGACCCAGAAACTTCAGGACCTGCCCCAGGGCACAGTAAAGACTTTTGGCCAGTGCAGTACTCCCGCTATGGGCATTGAGCAAACTTTTTAGAGAGCATGGAATTGCTCTCTAAAATTCCCTAAGGGTCTAAAAAAAAGAGGTCATTAACATTAAGCGAAATAAATCATCTAGGCACTGACAGACTTCCAGCGTACTGATACTCCTGTGACTGAGGTTGCCTCACCAGTAGAGCTGGCTCTGAATCTGCCCTTGCTGTTAACCCTTGGTTACACAGTCCCTGGAGGAGGGAGACGGGTGGGTGACTTGCCCAATGGAAGAGACAGCAGTAGGTAAAGACCTGTCGCCCAGGTGGTTCGCTGGGGGCACATTCTACTCTTTTCGGTGTTCAGGATGCAAAGATCTGGCTGAGACGGTGGATACGGAGAAGGAAAGTTGAATTGGGAGACTGGAGGGACGAGGGAATCAAAATACTTAAGTCCCAAGGTTGGGAGATGGGTGAAAAGACCGAGCTTGCTTCAGGCTCGACCAAATTCACAGTCAAGTAGTTCAGAGCTGGCGGGCAAGGAAAAGCTAAAAGAGCGGAGCTGAAGGTAAGATCAGGATAAAGACCCGGGTTTGGGAGCCCTCACCCGGAAGGAAAACAGAGACAGCCTTGGAGGTGCCTGCTCATTACCGGCCTCGCAGTAGGGACGAGAGGGTTCTTTGCTTCCCTCGCTGTCCCCGTCCTAGAGAGGGGCGAAAGCGCCGGTGGAGCGGATGGTTGGAATGGTCTCTTCTGGTCTTTGAAGACAGTCCCTTGGTGGGAGAGACTGGTCTCGGAGCACTCAACCTCCCCTCTCCGAAAACTTCTGCATTCAGGCGCAGAGGGCCGCACCCTTTTCCTCTTCTCTCGTCCCGCGCCCCAGGATGCTCAGACGGAGAAAGGGCACTCCGCACCCTGGGCGTCTGAGCAAGGACTCCCGGCGCCCAGCGCGGCCTTTCCGCCCCGAAGGCGGTTACGCTGTCACCACCGCACCAGGCGCTCGTCGGTATCCCAAAGCTGCCGGCCCCGGGATCGCAGACCAGGCCGCCCCCTTCCGCCGCCATCCGGAAGTGCCTGCAACTCGAGATAGAGGCNTAACTACGAGAAAAACATCAGCTAAACTCAAATTGAGGAACACCCTACAAGATACTTGCCCAGTACTCCCCAAAACTATCAAGGTAATCAAAAGACAGGAAAGCCTGAGAAACCGTCACAACGCAGAGACGCTTAAGGAGACATAACCACTAAGTGTAATGTGGTATCCTGGATGGAATGCTGGAGAAGAAAAGGGTTACTGGGGGAAAACTAATGAAATCTGAATAATGTGTGGGATTTAGTTAGGAATGACGCATCAATATTAGTTCTGAGAAATTCACCACAGTAAGGTAAGATGTTAAAAACGGGAAATTGTGCAGGGGGCGGTGGGAAAGCCTCAGGATATTGAAGGTGCACAGAATCAATATTCATAAAGGAGAACAATCCTCTCTGCTAATGCCTCCCCTCTGCTGTGTTCTGGCCTGTTTGCTACACAGCCAGGCTTTCTGCCATCCAGCGCCCTGGGACAACAGGGCAAGTCAGAGCCCAAAGGCTCCACACTATGGGGTCTTCCCAGCTGGGGCAGCCCTGGTCCTTGCCCGGTATCACATCACATCTTTGGGATATTACCTTTCTTGGGTACCTGGTTCTCGGAAGGAAGCATGTGGCAAACAAATGCTCATTAACCACCTTTATTGCAGTGGCCCCCATTCCCTGAGCATCTCCTCTATGCCAGGCCCTAAACAGGACCTGGCTCAGGCAGGTTCTACCATCTCTTACAATGACCTTTAATGGCCCCAAGGCCCTCAGGATCCAGACCGCCCCCTCCTCCCCACTACCTCTTTGACACGTTAACTTGCTTACCCTGCTCTAGCCGCTGACCATTTTAATGTTCTTCAAGTGCTCCAGGTACGTTTGCTACATCACATGCACAAAAATTCCCACCTCAGGCTGTTTTTCCACAGCAGCTTTACACAGACTGTCTAGAGACCAGAGACCAAGGAAACCGGGACCTGCCTCTGCACCTGGCCCACGGCCCGTCTTTTGGGTCGGAGGAGTTGGGGAGTTCCATGGGAGACTCAGGCTGCCTGGTCAGGTGTCAGAATCAGGGTGGGGGTCTGCCTTACCTTCTGTTCCTCCTCTAGGCGAAGCCGTTCCTCCTCCTTCTTCCACTCTGCCTCACGCTGGGACTCAAGGCGTTTCCGCTCCTCACGCTCAGCCTCCTCTGCCTGGAGAGAGGCCTTCATGGGGGCACCTCCTCACCCCCAGCTAGAGCCTGCCCACCTCCCAAACGGGCCAGGGCCGGCCACAGACCCAGGCTGCGGGAGACAACGCCAGGCAAGTAGCAAATACCAGCCCGGCATGCGAAGAGCCTTGAGGGGAGGGTCTGCCATAGGGGACAGGGGAAGGCAGGGTCCTTTCCCACTTCCCAGAGCTGCACCCCACCCCTCATGCTTGCCTCGCGCTGGGCTTTTCGTGCTTGTTTCTCCTCCAGCTTCCGTAGTTTCTTGGCTCCAATTTTCCCTGAGAGGTGAGTTTCCACTGGCTTCTCGATGTCTTCTTCCTCCTGGGCTGCATATGGTCAGAGAAAGACACTTTAGGTCCTGGCCAGAGAGGACAGATGATGATGAATCCACCCCATCCCTGTCCCTGTTGTCATGGGGGCGGGGGGATCCCCTTGCACCCACTTGTAAATGTCACTAGCCCAGCTCTGCCCTCCAGAGGCATCTGCCAGAATGCAGAAATTCACACTTCAGGTGCATGTGTGTTAGGGGTAGGAATGGAGTGAAGGA